CCATGATGGAGATCAGCGTTTTCTTTAGTTGGGTTCCTGACCCTTGACTTTTGAAGAAAAGATTTTCTCTGTCTGCTGAAACTTGTGTGTTTATAAAGCACATTTGTTATGGCACGAAAGTCAAGAGAAAATGTGATCAGATGTTGATGGTTAAGTGTTGATGTCAGTCATTATGTAGTGACCTGATTCAATGATTTCTTTCAGTGTCTAATATCTGATTAAAAAGGATGACAAATTATAGTTTTATTCAAAACTGTGATTTTACAGCAAAGGGCCAGCAGTGTTATGACATCAGATACAATTAAGGATTTTACAAGCAGTGTTCACAAAAAGTTTTCATCTATGGCTTTACTAAAACTAACATAGACATCAAGAATCAGCATATTAATCTCAACAATGGTGACCATTAAATAACGATTCATGCTGCAATGCATGCTGGGTACTAGCATAATACAAAATGTATCCATGGCTCCCAGCATGCATTGCGGCATGAATCACTTTTTAATGGTCACCATTGTTGAGATTCATATGCTGATTATTGATGTCTGTGTTAGTCTTAATAATGCAATAGATGAAAGCTTTTTGTGCGAAAATTGTTCGTAAAATCCTTTCTTTTATCCGATTCTGAATTTAAATAAATAGGCAAACCTAATAATACATCACTTGTTTAATCAGAGATTAGATTAGATTAGACTAAAAGTTCAGTCATCATGTCATTTAATGATGATTTTCATCATCAAAGCACAACCATTGACACCTGATCATATTTTCTTTTGACTTTTGTGCCATAACAAATGTGTTTTATATACACATGAGTTACAGCAGCCAAAGACAAACTAATTTGCAAGGGTCAAGAGTCCAACTAAAACAACCGCTAATCTCCAATATGGTGACCTTGAACGAAACTCAATAAATCATCACCTTCTAAACCTCTGTCACTTCTTCTTGTGTCACTCCATCTATGTCTGACTCTGGTTTGACAATAAAAGGCTAAATGTTTTTGAAATTTTCAGTGCATGTTTGTTTGAGGTAAAAGGACGGAACCTCTTGAGGCTCCGCCCCCTGTGCTGGGAGCAGCAGCTCATTTGCATTTCAAGTTTTTCTTTCCTTCAGTGATTTTGCCTGTTAACAGCAGGTGTTCATCACTAATGCTCAATCATTACTTAATTAGTCACTTAATTTACACACATTTACAGTTTTTAATCAATGAACGAAATGTGTTGTACCAGGAACAGCAGTTCTAATACCTACTTTTACCTAATACATTTATCAAAATTAATTGAGTAGAGTGATCACTAGGAACATACTATAACCTTTGGAACATGAAGAAACACTTAAGGTGAATTACAGTAATTTTTTCATAAAAAATATGTATGTACTGTACTTACAGTAAGGCAGGTATTGGCAATATTTAACCTTTAGTAAGTTAGTCTGATCACTAGGAACATTCTCCAACCTTTGAAACATGAAAATAATGCTTTAGGGGAATTACAGTAATTGTTTCACAAACATATTTGATTATTGTACATACAGTAAGGAAGATATTGTCAAAATTTCACCTGGAGTAAGTCACACTGGTCATTAGGAAAGCACTACACCCTTTGGAACACAAAAATAATACTTTAGGGGAAATAAAGTATTTTTTTTTAAATAAACATTTGATAATTGTGCGTACAGTATGCGAGTTATTGTGGAAATTTCACCTGTAGTAAGTCAGTCAGGTCACTGGGAAAGCACTACAGCCTTTGAAACACGAAAATAATACTTTAGGGGAAATACAGTAATTTTTTTAATAAACATTTGATAATTGTACGTACAGTAAGGGAGTTATTGTGGAAATTTCACCTGTAGTAAGTCACACTGGTCATTAGGAAAGTACTACAGCCTTTGGAACGTGGAAAAATAGTTACGGTCATTTACAGTTAATTTTTCATAAACATATTTTACAATAGCACGTACAGTATGTGAGTTATTGTCAAAATTTCACCTGTAGTAAGTCACACTGGTCACTAGGAAAGGACTACAGCCTTTGGAACGCAGAAAAATAGTTACGGTCAATTACAGTTAATTTTTCATAAACATAATTGACAATAGTACGTACAGTAAGGGAGATATTGTCAAAATTTCACCTGTAGTAAGTAACACTGGTCATTAGGAAAGCACTACAGCCCTTGGAACGGGAAAAAATACTTTAGGGGAATTACAGTAATTGTTTCATAAACATTTTAGTTTATTGTACGTACAGTAAGGGAGTTATTGTCAAAATTTCACCTGTAGTAAGTCAGTGTGGTCACTGGGAAAGGACTACAGCCCTTGAAACGGGAAAAAATACTTTAGGGGAATTACAGTAATTTTTTCTTGAACTTATTAGTTTTTTGTACGTACAGTAAGGGAGTTATTGTCAAAATTTCACCTGTAGTAAGTAACACTGGTCATTAGGAAAGCACTACAGCCCTTGGAACGGGAAAAAATACTTTAGGGGAATTACAGTAATTGTTTCATAAACATTTTAGTTTATTGTACGTACAGTAAGGGAGTTATTGTCAAAATTTCACCTGTAGTAAGTCAGTGTGGTCACTGGGAAAGGACTACAGCCCTTGAAACAGGAAAAAATACTTTAGGGGAATTACAGTAATTTTTTCTTGAACTTATTAGTTTTTTGTACGTACAGTAAGGGAGTTATTGTCAAAATTTCACCTGTAGTAAGTCAGCGTGGTCACTAGGAAATAGGGGTGGTTAATCTGTCTGATTTTCCGATTCGATTCGATTACGATTATTGAAGTCCCGATTCGATTACAGTCGATTTTCGATTATTAACGATTCTCGATTAGCGATTATTGATTTTCCATTTCACAACAGTAAACGAAAAAACACTACAAAGTGATTGCAGTATTAAAAAAAGTCAGCTGCTGAATTACTTAACTCTTTTATTGAGTAACAACAACTCAAAGCACTTTCTGTGTCGTGTAGTTATAATTTCAGAATTATTTGTATGTAGCTTACACTGTTAGAAATTTCTGTAAATTACACAGTAATTAACTGTAAAATGAACTGTATTTTACTGTAAGACAGTTATACAGCATGTTACTGTATTTTAAAGTTGCATTGTGGTAAATATCCCCTTGGCGCCACTAAAATACAGTATTTTTAATTTACTGTAAAGCAAAATACAGTAAAACAAAAACGAGCGCGAAACCTGACCAATCACAGACAAGCTTTTATTTCCCGCTTGGAGAAAGAAGAAAACGAAGACACAAATGCAAGAACCAGTCAGATACAAAGGTGTGTACAAATATTCCTGCTTTTAAGTTACTTTACATGTTTTATGTTTTTGGTTTAACTAAAAAAAGAAAAGAAAAATAAACGCTGCCCCTTAACGGCGCGCGGTCACCTCACACTTTGCTGTGGAGAGAGCTAGAGTTGTGCCAACACTGCAGATATTCATATTTCGTCATTTTCTTCCCCTTTTCTGAAAGTTTTGCCGTCAAAATATGGACATTAACGGGTCTCTGCCTTGGGTTTGACCACCACGTCAGGAGCAGGTGAGTGTTCATGTGAACTGTTGGCCGAAAAATAAAGCTTTTGTGAATTTAGTTTTAAAAAGTCGTTTTTTCCCGCTATATAAGTTAATCGCTTGTTGTCGTTAACTGATTAACTTACCCCATATTTGCACGTCATGGCTATAGTGCTAGAGTAAAACCCGAAATGTTCGTGTGCAAACACTGTGGCGTCTATGTGGAGACATTATACGCCTTTATTGATCATGCCAAAGGACATAAAAACACGGCGAACTTCAGGTTTTCGTGTGCAGTTCCTGAATGCCCGTGCACATAACAAAGCCTCTCCGCACTTAAGTCTCACATTTACCGCAAACACAGAAAGGCCGCGAAAAAACCGAACAGATGTGAACAACACGGTCTAAATTCTAGATGCAGTGTTGAAGCTGTACATTCGTGTCGACTAAATTCGCCAGTCTTTGTGAACATCTAAAATGGCATATTCGAGATGGCAAAAAAATTGAATGTCCGATTACTGGCTGTAAAAAATATTTTCGAGTGAAGTCTTCATTTTCAGCACACCTCAGTAGAAAACATAAAAACGAATATGAGAAGTTCAAGTCTGTCTGTGGAGAGATCACTGAGATTTCTGTTGCTGTGCCAGATGTGAATACTGAGGGCTTTGATGATGTGAATACTGAGGGCTTTGATGATGTGGAATTTCAAGAAAGTGGTCCAGCCATTCAGCTTGACAAAGACAGATTTCTGACTAATTTGGCTTTATTTTATTTGAGGATGCAGTCAAAAATGATCCTGCCAGCTACAACAATTCATATTTTAATTGATGAGTTCATGGAGGTGCATACAAATAGCATGACACATACCCTGTCCAAAGTTAATGAAGAATTGACAAAGCTGAAAATTCCAGACTGTCAAATAAATGAAATAATAAGTGGGTTATCTAAAGAAAACTTACTTAAGATGTATAATGAGGGATATTTTAAGTCAGATCAGACTCGGAAGTCTTTTTTCAAAGAACATTTCAATTATGTGGAGCCTGTGCAGGTTTACCTAGGCTGTGATGCATCAGGGAAAGAGCGCTTTTGTCAGTACATACCAGTGAAAGAAACTCTGAAGGCATTTCTGAACAATTGATCTGTTAAAGAACAGTATGATAAGACCAAGGGGCAAACATCACAAAATCCCCATGTACTTGAGGATATAAGAGATGGGAGAAATTTCAAAGAAAACACTCTTTTTAAAGAGTCTTCATCAGTAGTGTCTCTAATTTTATATCAAGATGCGTTTGAGGTAGTTAATCCCCTTGGCTCTGGAAGAAAAAAACACAAACTAGTTGGTGTGTACATGACACTTTCAGAAATCTGTCCCCATAATAGATCATCTATTGATCCTATGCAATTGGTCATGCTTTGTAGAGAGGAGGATTTTAAGTTTTTTGGGCAGCAACAAGTCTTCACACCTCTTTTGAGTGATCTCAAGGACATGGAGGAATTTGGAATTGTACTGGAGAATGGAGAGACAGTGAGGGGAGCAGTGATTGCCATTGTTGGAGATAATTTGGGGTCACATAGCATCGGAGGGTTTACTGAGAATTTCAGTAAGAGTAGACATTTCTGCCGTTACTGTCTTATAAATAGAGACATGTTTGAAAGAAAAGGCACAGACTTAGGTCCAACAAGAACAAAACAGAATTACCAAAACAGTGTGTCAATGTCTGGAGGGCAAGAAATGTGTGATGGTGTCAAGTTTGACTCTGTATTCAACTGCCTAAAACACTTTCATGTGTGTGATCCTGGGCTTCCTCCATGTTTGGGACATGATCTTTTTGAGGGAGTTGTTTCAACAGATCTGGCTTTGTACATAAAACAGCTTGTCACTGTAGGGAAACATTTCAGCTATGTTCAGCTGAACAGAAACATATCCAGCTTTAAGTTCTGTGGAAGTGACATGAATAATAAGCCATGTGAAATAAAACCTGATGGTGGAAAGTTGACAGGACATGCAGCTCAGAACTGGTGTCTGCTTCGATTGCTTCCATTACTAATTGGGGATCGAATAAAAAATCCACTTGATGATGAAATTTGGCAGTTGTGCTTGAAGTTAAGGGAGCTTGTTGAAATGATATGTGCACCAAAAATTCATCATGATCAAGTAGCCTACATGAAATGTCTGATTGAAGAATATGTGCACTTAAGAGCTACCTTGTTTCCAGATGCACCACTGAAACCAAAACATAATTTTTTACTTCACTACCCTGAACTCACACTTAAATTCGGACCACTAATTAGACTATGGACTTTACGATTTGAAAGCAAGCACACATATTTTAAACAATGTGCAAGAAAGTTACGAAATTTCAAAAATCTAGGGAGTACACTAGCTGAAAGACATCAGCTATTGCAAGCCTATTTGAGTGCTGGCTCCATCTTTCCTCCAAATGTGCAAGTAGGTGAAGCAGATGAGTTTCGCAGTCACATATACAACACACACATTCAGGAAGCTGTAAGGATGCAAGGCATTCATGACTCCACCTTTGTAACATTAACTGCAACATACAAAGGAACCAAGTACCAGACATCAATGGTTGTTGTCGTAGATCAAACTGATGATGGACACACATTCGGAAAAATTGAAATGATTCTGATACACTTCTCAAAAATATTCTTTGTTGTTGAAAAGTGTAAGTCAGTGCCAGTGGTTGATCTGGGTTTACACTTTCTGCAACAAGATTCAAGTCCCCACTATTTATGTGTAAATGCAGAGAATCTAGCTGACTATTACCCTCTGCCAGTATACAAACGATTTGATGCTAATTTTGTTGCACTTCACCACTCTGTTTGTCTTAGGTGAGAAGCTAAAAGATGGAAGCCGTCATTAGAGGTGTTCTCCCAATGCTGGATGATGATCAACTAAACCACCTGATATCAGAATTAACTAGAATTGGTGTAAAAACAGACGATGACCTCCAATATTTAACATTAGATGACCTCAAAGACTTCCTTTCACCAATAGACTGCAGGAAACTAATTCATTTTTTCAAAATCAGAGGCAAGTCATTTGTATATATTATATAATATACAGTAGTAAAAAATTGCTTACGTGGGTTTTAAGCCATATTCATTATCAGTGAAGTAGAAATATGTATATTTTTTAAATGATTAATTTACTGTTATTAAATACTCTGTCACGTTTCTACACCACATCTGTTAAATTCGATTTTTATTTTCGATATTCCATTTAGTTTTGTAATATGCAGTAGAAAAACGGCTTATGTGGGTTTTAAGCATGATCAATGAAGTACATTAGTCAAATAATTAATTTACTGTTAGTGAATACTCATAATTTCATGTTTCTACACTACATCTGTTAAATTTGTCATGCTATTAATTTTATGTTCAGTGTTTCATTTAGGTAATGAAAATATTCTAGCCACTCAGCCAAGCAACCGTCCCAACTCTTCAACATTCCCTGCGCAGTGTCAAGGATCCAGTGAAGTTACAAATCCATCATTTACTCCAGTCCCAGTTCAAAGTGCAGCATGGGTGTCAGATTTTCAAATACCCTGGGGTAAGATGACACCAAATTTAAGAACATGTCTTGCACAAGGAAAGCGACCTCAGGCCTCAGATAGGAGACACATGGTTAGGGTGATTGTGGATTCCATCAGAGAGGTGTGTTTAAATCCAACCAAGCAGCAATGTTCAGAAGTTGCACAGTCAATCATCCATAAGTATCCAAACAGTTTTAGTGACAAAAGCCGCGTTTCCACCGCAGGAACTTTACCCAGGAACTAGGAACTTTGGCCTGGTACTCGGTGTGTTTACACCGCAGGAACCAGGGTCTAAATGAAGTTCCGGGTAGATATTTCCCCCTCCGAAAGTCCCTGCTCGCGAGGTAGTACTTTTTCAAAGTTCAGGAACTTTCGCGGGTGGGGCTTGTGCGCTGAACATGCTGATTGGTTGTGTTCACGCCGCATTATGATTGGATAACTCCGCGCAGCATTTTATTTTAACCGGAATTTTTAGAATCTATTGCAGTTCGTGGCTTCATGCAGTAATGAAGTTCCATGCAGTAAGAGTTGTCTGTCTGCAAATATGGAATTTAATAAAAATAAAAAAGGCAGCTGGACCGACGACGAGATTCAGGCTTTATTAAGCGTATTTGCGGAAGAGAAATTTTCTGCGCGTTCGTCCCAGCCTTCTCACGGTCAATGTCCGCAATAGCTGATAACATACGCTGTCTAATTTTAGATCTAACGTTAGCATTACGAGCTTTCTGAACACGCTTTAGTATCAGTGCTCGTCTCTTTTCTGCCGTTTTGTTAATTACCTGGTTAGTAAACCAATACATCTCAAACAACTGCAGCACAGTGTGAATCTCTTCCATATTTATTATAAATGTGGCGCTCAAAACTGATTACTGTCTTTTACAGTCTACTGTCCGTCACAAGCAAGCAATGAGCAGTCGCGCGCAGTTTACCCGGTACTTTAGACCGCGATGTAAACGCAGAAAGCTACCGGTCTGGGGCAAAAAAAGTTCCTGGGAAAAAAGTTCCTGGGACAAATTGTTCCGGGCAATTGCGGTGGAAACGCGGCTATAACAGAGGAAGGAGAGTTAATTGGTTGTGGTTACTACTCTTTGTTGTGTCAGTTGAAGATAAGGGTGGAACATCTTAACCGGAACAGTACAATGGCTCGACTTAGAAAACCTAAACGAACAGGAGACCAAGTGGATGATAGCCAACCTTCAACATCTAAATCCGCTAAACTGGATAGCTATGGCTGTGTGAACTGGAACCCTACTGAACCTCCTGAAGGGGAAACCTTTGTTTCTTTAGAGATAAAAAGACAGGAGATCCTTAGTCTATTTTCCCAAGAAGGACCTCGTGCAGCCGAGCGAGGCAAAGTCCAGGAATTAATGAAAATGACATTCATTGCACAACGTCACAGCATTAATGCCAGCCCTCCACCCAGTATCACAGATCTTCAGGCAAGGTGGCCTCTACTCTTTACAAAGAGATTCTTGTGCGCACATTTTAAGGAACTGACTGGGATTGATCCTGACATCAGATTGAAGGAGTCCCTTTGTACCAAAGGGGAAAGGATTCTCTGCTTCTTCAAAAATCATAAGTCCAGGTGGGGAAAAGAAGTTAGTACAGTCCTCAAAGACATCGACAGAGAGGGCAGAGATGTTGACCCAGGCCTTGCAGCAGTCCTGTTGATGATGGCCCACTTTAAAGAAAAGGAGGAATCACTGTTTCTTTTAGCCGATGTGAGTATTTTTCATTTATGTATTTGAAAATGTATGTAACTCACAGTTAGTAAAACATATTTGTGTGTGTGTGTGTGTGTGTGTGTGTGTGTGTGTGTGTGTGTGTGTGTGTAGGTCACAACAACTCCAACAGATGCAGAGACCAGTATTTCACTTCCTTCTACTCCAAGGCTCATCATGCTTGGTAAGATCCTTTAATACATGATTAACAATGTTTAAGAGATTGTTTAGGGATGCACGATTAATCATTAAAATATTGCGATCACATCTCATAAACAAATGCCAATGATTCGCCTGAGTCAATCAAACTCTTGACTAAAATCATAACGTTCAAATCTGCATTTGTGCTGCCGCTGAAGCAGAGAAGGCAGCTGTCATGTATGGGTATGAAAAAGCTCCACAGTCTTTTTAACCACACAATATCATTATTTCAGTGTTACAAATATTAAAATTATAAGTACTGGGATAAAAGTTTATAGTTAGCAATCAAAATAGAGCAAATCAGCGTTTTAATATAACTTCGCACTTCAAATAAAGCATTTATGTTTTGCCACTAGGTGGGGACAAGTGACAGTGAAAAAATGTATTTGACATTGAATCATTCATTCAGGAGACTGAACGATTCATCCCTTGTTGTTCAAACCTTATTAAAGGTGATGTTAAAGGGTTACTTCACCCAAAAATGAAAATTCTGTCAGTAATTACTCTCCCTCGTGTCGTTCCAAACCCGTAAGACCTTCGTTCATCTTCGGAACACAAATGAAGATATTTTTGATGAAATCCGAGAGCTTTCTGACCCCTCCATAGACATCAACGTCATTGCAATTTTCACGGCCCAGAAAGGTAGGAAAGACATTGTTAAAATAGTCCATGTGACTATAGTGGTTTAACCTTAATGTTATGAAGCAACGAGAATAATTTTTCTGTGCAAAAAAACTAACGAACAAAAAATAACAACTTTACTTAACAATTTCTTCTTGTCTGTGTCAGTCTCCTACACTGTTTACGTTGTAAATACAGCACTTGCGGGTTCTACGTTAGAAGTGCTGTATTTACAATGTAAACAGTGTAGGAGACTGACACAGACAAGAAGAAATTGTTGAATAAATTCTGAAGTCACATGGGCTATTTTAACGTTTTACCTACCTTTCTATGACGTAGCTGTCTAAGGAGGGGACAGAAAGCTCTGAGATTTCATCAAAAATAACTTAATTTGTGTTCCGAAGATGCACGAAGGTCTTATGGGTTTGGAATGACATGAGGGTGAGTAATTACAGACAGAATTTTCATTTTAGGGTGAACTAACCCTTTAACATCACCTTAAATAAGTTTTGAATAACAAGGGTGACTAAATGATGTTTGTCATTGTTGGCTAAACTATCCTTTTAAACTAATGAGAAAATCTCCATCTACATATTGTCACTGACACCAAAACCAAATGTTAAATGTTTTTGCAAAGTTAAACACTATAAATTAATTCATTACTATTTGTAAAAAAAAATTTTTTAGGGGATTCAGTTCTACACAGCAAAAAATGGATGCTGTCAATTGAAGGCAAAGTCCTCTTTCCTGAGACTGACCTACCAGATTTGTCCTCTGCGCTTGCCGTTCTCTTCGGTTGCTATTATGTGTTTAACATCGAGTACCAAGTGGAAGCAGCCACTACTTTGGAGTTCATTCAGAGGTAAGTACATCTTGCAATATGCCATAATATTAGGTAAACATTAAAGGGATCATCCACCCAAGTTCTGTCATAACTAACTTAATCAGCAGAACACAAAATAAGATATTTTGAAGAATGTTGGTGACCCAACACTTGTTTCCTGTTGACTTCCATTGTTTTTTTGTGTCCATATAATGGAAGTCAAAAGGAACAGAAAGTGTTGGGTCACCAACATTATTTTGTGTTCCACTAAAGGGTAAGAGGTTACGGTAACACTTTTTTTAATGTGTCCTTGTTACACACGTTACATGTATTTACTATAGTAATAACTATAAATCAGGCATAATTACATGCAATTAACCCTCAACCAGATCCTGATCCTACCCTAACCCTATAGTAAGTACATGTAGTTAATTATTATTACTCAGTACTTAAATCTGTAATTACACTGTAACAGGGACACATTAAAATAAAGTGTGACCGAGGTTACACTTAAAGGAATAGATCACCTAAAAATTAAACTTCTGTCAGTAATTACTCTCCCTCATGTTGTTCCAATCCCGTAAGACCTTTGTTCGCCTTTGGAACACAAATTAAGATATTTTGATTAAATCTGAGAGCTGTTTTACTCCTTCATAGGCTTCTATGTAATTTCATTCTGCCGGCCCAGAAAAGTTAGTAAAGACAATGTTTATATTAGTCCAAGTGACTACAGTGGCTCAAACTTAATTTTATCAAGCGACGAGAATACTTTTTGTGCGCAAAAAAAACTTTATTCAACTATTCATTGTCTTCTGTGCCTCTGTTGTGAGTTCACGAGAGCAACACGATGCATGCGACAGAACTGAGAAGATGATGCTCACGATAATTTGATGGGAAAGTGTGAAATGTAAGCCATTCATTTTGTGGCATTGGTAAGGCACTTACGTTTTCTCGTTGCTTTCTTACGATTCGCACATCCAGGAAATGCACACTTTAGAACCATTTTAAATATCACATCGAGACCCGTCTGCATCATCATCTCAGTTCTCGCACATGCGTCGTGTTGCTCTCGTGAACTCACTCGAGGCCCACACAGAAGAAAATGAGCAGAGCCGGACAGTAACGGAGTACATTTACTTGAGTACAGTAGTTAAGTACAATTTTGAGGGATCTGTACTTTACTCGAGTATCATTTTTGGGGAGTACTCATGACTTTACTCAAGTACATTTGAGAGGCAAATATTGTACTCTTTACTCCAATACATTTCTATCCATAACCGTGAGTACCCGAGTAAAAAAAAAAAAAAGTAAAAAGAAAAATCTCGGACACCCTCAATTTGTTGTTTCCCTCTCAAACGTGATTGGATTGTGCAGGCGCCACTGATTGGGACAGCCTATCAGCAATCACTTTCAGCTTTCCACCAAAGTCAACTCCATGGTCAGATTTTATATTACACATTAATGTAAGCCAAGCATTTGGTTTGATGTTCTTGAGTATGTGGTGTGTTTAACACAGATGTTGCAGTGGCGTAGCCACGAGGGATTTCTGATTTCTTAAAAAAAAAACTTTAGGAGGCAAAATATATTTTTACTGATTATGTGAATTACACTGCGCAAACCAAAGTAGGCTACTACCCAGCGAATGAAGAAGGGTTGGCGCTCAGTCTCCACAGTACATAAAATATTAATTTAGTTTTATTTTATTTTTCGGGTTTGCATTTATGAGGAAAAAACAATGTTATGGACGTGTTCTCCGTTACGGACGTGAGCGCTCTGAAAGCGGCATAAAAAATGCTTTAAAACTTTCACAGAGACATCAAACAGAAAACACAAAACCTTTCTTTAACCTGAATTTCGTTTTGCATTAATTGTATCTTAATTTTAATCAATGTTTCATCAACCAATTGCCTGGGTTTAATAAATAAGAAGTAAATAGCAGACGATAGATAAGAAACGGAGGCGCCAGCACGTGAACTGGATCTCGTCTCATAAATGAACCGAAACTCAAGTGTATAAGGTAGCCTACTTGCCTCTTACAGACATGTCTACTTTTAAACAGAAAAATTCAAAACGAAAGAAAAAAGACTACAGACTGCTCTCTGCTTATGTAATCCGTATGAAATGTGCATTTCTCTCTGGCGCGTTCACTACTGAAGATCGCGAGTCAGCATCGTCAACTTCATCTAGCCGACACTGACAAAGAAAACACTTGTTTATTAACAAGTGTTTATTAATAAACAATTAAAATATCTCCTTGCTATATTTTACATATTCATAATCATTCCTTTTGCCGGTTCTTTGTGACAGCTTTTAGGTGCTTTATTGGCAGCGCCACCCTTACATGTTGTGTGTGTGTGTGTGTGTGTGTGTGTGTGTGTGTGTGTGTGTGTGTGTGTGTGTGTGTGTGTGTGTGTGTGTGTGTGTGTGTGTGTGTGTGTTGTCCCCGCATTTAAAGATGGGACCCCCCAAAAATTTAATTAAATTAAATAAAGCAACATGGTAAAAAGATGAAAATGACTTGATTTTACTTTCAATTCCTTTTACATTCTCCAAGGTATTAACATTAACATTTTTCATAACTCCATGTATGACGTTTCTGTGCATAAATGTAAGCACTGTGGCAGTAGATTAGTAATGCAATATTTAGAAAATTTACTCTTGTACTCTTGATACTCAAGTACTTTTAAAAACAAGTACTTTAGTACTTTTACTTAAGTAGACATCTGAATGTAGTACTTTTACTTGTACTTGAGTAAAATTTAGCAAGGGGTATCTGTACTTTTACTCAAGTAACAAAGCTCTGTACTCTGTCCGCCTCTGAAAATGAATAGTTGAAAAAAGTTATTTTAGTTGTTTTTTTGCCCACAAAATGTATTCTCGTCACTTGATAAACTTAAGGTTGAGCCACTGTAGTCACTTGGACTATTTTAACAATGTCTTTAACTTTTCTTGGCCGGCCAGTTTCGATCCCTTAAGAAGCCTATGGAGGAGTGATCCAGCTCTCAGATTTAATGAACGAAAGTCGATGAACGAAAGTCTTACGGGGTTGGAATTTACATTTTTACATTTTTGTAAAATGTACAAAAATGTAAAAAAAAAAAAAAAAAAAAAGACAGAATTTACATTTTTGGGTGAACTAACCCTTTAAGAAAACATGCAAATAGAAAAAACATCCACAAATTAAGAAAACATCTTCATCCATTTTACATCCATTGTGCTCCAAATACTCACAACACAACCAAATACAGAAACGCGCTACAAATGGCACAGAACACAATGGAAATGTTTTCAGGGGACCCCAACAAGTGACGAACCCGGCTGTGTATTGCCGATGTACGATCAACGGCTGTCCAAATTCACTCACTCGTTTTCATTCACTCCTTCAAGTGAACTGTAATGGTGAACTAACGAAGAGATTAGTGGATGAGGGTTTAGGGTGCGATTTCAGATGTAGCCAACGTAATTTCCTTGTTATTTTCACCTGGGGTGTTCCCATGACAACGCAGCATCAGTCCATCAGCTGAATATCTGTTCTTAGGACAGAAATGTCTTATAATTGCTGTTAAAATAACTGTTGCAAATAAATACATTTTATACAAAAAAGGTTTTTATAATATGCTTTATTTATCTGTGTCTTTACTTAAAAAATAGTCTCATTTTTGGACCCTACATTACCTAACATTTCTTACCTCTGAAACATAACATAAAAATAAAAAAAAACTTACAATGTTACTGATGTATAGATTAATATCTTACCCTCATGTTCTTAATCATTTTGTATATTGTATACAAAGTTGTGTGTCACAAACATGTCATCTCTGAAAGTTTTGTAAAAAATTTTAAAAAAAAATTGAGTTCGTCACTTATTTGAGGTCCCCTGAAAACATTTCCGTTGTGTTCTGTGCCATTTGCAGTGCATCTCTGTATTTGGTTGTGTTGTGAGTGTTTGGAGCACACGTGTTACATTTTTGCCTTAACCAATGTTTAAAACATTTTTACACATCAAATGATCTAACAATTTGTTTCTGTTATGTTAAGGTTCATTGTGAGGATTAACCCTGACAACAGCAAGTGCTCCTCAAAGTTCCAGGTCAGCAAAAGAAGTGGGAAGATGGTGCAAAGGAAGAACTCTGGCCTGAACCCTCATGTATCCTCCTTCATTAAAGAGTTTCTGGATTTCAGCTGGCAAAACTATTAAGCTACTAAGAGCAAAAACACTACTACACAGGAGTTTTCTGAATTTGTACATTTTTAAGATTGTTCTTATAACTGAATCTGTTAATGAATTGTTTTAAAATGTTCTTTATATGAAACTTTTATGTATGAATGTTACTGCAGGTGTTTGGAAAACTGATAGTACAATCTGCAAAAATATTAAAATGTTATTTCATGCATTACAATTGAACAATTTTATGTATAAATGTTACTGCAGGTGTTTGGAAAACTGATAGTACAATCTGCAAAAATATTAAAATGTTATTTCATGCATTACAATTGAACAATAAAAAAAAAAAAGTTAAACAGTTGTCCTTGTTTCTTTTTATTTACTAGTTTTTAGTACTGAGACCTGTTGAAATACAATAATTTGTATAGTTTTAAAATAAATAGTAAAAGTTGACAACAAATTACAGTAAATTTCAGTGTAAAGTAATATATTTGTATTGTATTCAAATATATTACCGAAGAAAATACCATAACATTGTGTTTTACAGTAAAAAATACACTTTACTGTAAATAAATTTACAGCAAGTTAAATGGTACTGTAAATATGAATACAGTATTTTTACTGTAAGTTTAATTTACAGTAAGTTACTGGCAACCAGCTGCCAGTAATTTACTGTAATTTCTACGGGAATTTTTTTACAGTGTATGTTCTGTAGAACACAGAAATGAATACATCACATTGTGTTGTGACTCATCAAGTTGAACGAAACAATAACAAATAAATGAAAGGCTTATTTCCTTAAGGAAGTAGATCAGAAACAACATACTGTAGAAATTGGACAATTTTCTTCTAGAAAGACAAGGTGTTGTTCAGGTGGAGGAAGACTGCAAGTTGCAGTCGAAACATGTCAAGGTAAATAAAAAGTTTATAATGCAAATTGTTTTTTGCATTATATGCGGTTAGAACAGCTGTCAGCAGCGCGTCCTCATCCATATCAAGCGCCTCGTCCCCTGAGGCGGCGGCAGCGCGGGCGGGAGCCGGCGGCTGCGAGTCCGGGAGAGGGGGCGGAGAAGGAGAGATAGACGCTCGAGGGAGTCATTCCGGCGAGCATTTGCATCAGAAAACGACGGCAGTGCAGCCCGCAGGGTCGACATCAGAAGTGCGTCGCTGAGCTCACAAACCCAGGCAGAGAGCGCAGATCACATGGCGGTCTCCGTCGCTGTGCGGGGCTCTGCACGCGCCGCAGGAAGTGCAAGGCATCTTGAAAAAGACGCTCGCTGCTCTTTTAGACAGTAAGTTTTGCAAGAAAGGATCCGTCGCCGGATAGCGTAGCTCGCACGGATGGCTGAAGGTGGTGAAGACGGCCGGCTTCTTCAGGCGCTGTCTTGTCGCTTCCTCGACGGCGGCGGCGGCTTCTCTCTAGATCTAGCGATGCGGCAATAATAATAACGCAATTTTTTTTTTTTAAATAATAAAAAATCGATTTTTGAAAATTTAATAATCGATTCATAATCGTCCATAACATAATCGCGATTAATCAATAATCGATTTTTTTAACCACCCCTACTAGGAAAGCACTACAGCCTTTGGAACGGGGAAAAATACTTTAGGGGAAATACAGTTAATTTTTCATAAACATATTTGACAATAGCACGTACAGTATGCGAGTTATTGTCAAAATTTGACCTGTAGTAAGTCAGTCAGGTCACTAGGAAAGCACTACACCCTTTGAAACACGAAAAGAATACTTTAGGCCAGGGGAATTACAGACATTTTTTTAATAAACATTTGATAATTGTACGTACCGTATGGGAGTTATTATGGAAATTTCAGCTGTATTAAGTCAGTGTGGTCACTAGGAAAGCACTACAGCCTTTGAAACACGAAAAGAATACTTTAGGGGAAATACAGTCATTTTTTTAATACACATTTGATAATTGTACGTACAGTAAGGGAGATATTTTCAAAACTGTACTTTGTTTAATGGTTTTAATGTTCTTTTAAAGCAAATCATTCTTCTATAAATACATCCATTAAGTAAAGAAGTTACTGTTTTCAGCCATTACAGTAATAAATACATTTAGATAATGTAATATTTTTTGATGGAAGGTGTGCCATTGAAGAACCCCATAGGACTTTTGCTAGTTTTTTAAATGTTCACCTGTTAGGGGCGCACAGTCAAAGACCCAGAACCAGATATGAAGAAATGAAGAGCAGGAGTCAGAATTATAATAAAGAAAAGATTTACTGAAGATAGTTTTCAGTTTCATCAGCAGAAGTCAGCTTCAAGACTCTCACAGGAGTTCGTAGGCCGTTACAAAGATCACAGAATCACTAAATGAGCAAGCACTGTTACTGTTTTCAGATATCAAATACAGACATTAGAAAATACATGAAACAAACATTTCAGTAATCATACTGGTAACTTCTAGCCTATAACTAAGTAAAATCTCACATGCCTAGATAAGTCATTCCACTCATGTAATATTTAGAAAGAAAACCTTGATTATAATCACTCATTACATATACATTGAAGCAGCAGTTTATTCCAAAATCCACACCCTTCACCCCCAAAATAAACATCATGTTTGCTGTCATGCTTTCTGGGTACTTGTCAATAATCTGATGGATTCAGTTCCATGGACAGTGATATTTCTGCAGGACTGTAAACATCAATCAATGCACACGAATTGTGTTATTGTGAGAGTTTAATGTTAATTGAAGATGCTATACAACAGGAAAACATAAAATACTGTTAGGCCATTCTTTTTATTCAGCACCTGGAGAACACTGTTACACTGTAAAGTCTTTATTACACTTAAAAACAGAAAAACCGAGGTGGATAAAACAGCAAGACGTGGGCTGTAGTGTGTTCTGTAGGGTCCAGACAAGACCATCCAACTTGTTTTGGAACAGTCGGCCCATCCTTTCAAAACCTATTGAAATAAATCATATGTCATAATTAAAACCAACACCAACACTGTTCTTGTTCATTTTGATTTAAAAAATAAACATAAATATAAACAGATGTAAAATGAAGCGATTAACTATGTTCAGGAGATTACACATGATTTTCCACTTTCTACAGTCTGGATTGTTACCAGATTACAGTTCATGTTGCCTACATGTTCATTCTTTATTATTTCCTAAACACCTTTTTAAACACCATCATTATAAGGACATTCTATTGCATTAGAACACATAATGTGAGAGATATTTGCTGGTACATCTGTAGTTGGCTAAAATGTAGTTGTCTGTTTGCACACGATGAAAAACAATATACACTTTTTAGACGTTAAACCTCTACAAATGATCCAGAATGCTGCAGCTCGTCTGGTCTTCAACGAGCCCAAAAGGGCCCACGTCACTCCTCTGCTCATCTCTCTGCACTGGCTACCACTCGCTGCTCGCATCAAGTTCAAGGCTTTGACGCTTGCTTACAGATTGACCACAGGTTCAGCTCCCTCCTACTTCCACTCACTACTACAAGTCTACATCCCTACCAGAAGCCTACGATCGGTCAATGAGTGACGGCTCGTGGTACCATCACAGCGGGGCACAAGATCACTCTCCAGAACATTCTCATTCACGGTTCCATGCTGGTGGAATGATCTCCCCACCCTCATCCGGAATGCAGAATCCCTGACAACATTCAAAAGACAACTGAAAACTCATCTCTTCCGGGAGCACTTAACTTAAAAAAAAAAAAAAAAAAAAAAAAAAAATCCTTTCCTCTAAATCCTCGCTTGCCTGCCTTATGCTACTCCGAGCTATGGCTGAACTTTGTATTTTGAGCACTTCTTGCGTTGCTTTTGCCTCTTCACGATGACTCGCTTGGTTTAGTCCTCAGTTGTAAGTCGCTTTGGATAAAAGCGTCTGCTAAATGACTAAATGTAATGTAAATGTAAATGTAGACGGTCCCTATCTTGGTTACCACACTACATTGAATATTCAACCAAGTGTGTATGCATTAAAAATATACTTACCCATTTTGATCGATTGTAGAAAATGTTGTAGTTTACAATCTTTGTTGTCAATATTAAGTAGCTGCTTCGAATCTGAAAAAAAATTGCTTCTTTGACTATTTAATTGAAAAAGTTCTTTAACGCGAATGTGCGAATATAAAACCAACTTTACCTAAGTTTTCTATAGGAACCTTAGCTTCTAGCGGCAGCTGCAGTGACTAACTTTATAAATCAGTGATTGGCTCTTTTATTTAGAAGGCAGGAATTATTTCGCTTATTTCGCGTTGCACTTTTCCCCCATTCATAATGAGTGCAAAATCTTTCTATTTGTGTACAGTGTACAGCAGGGGGCACAAGACAGCCCTGGGGGGAGCCGCGTGTTAAGAATAATGGTGGAGGATGAGAAGTTGTGAATTCTAACACATTGTGGCCTATTTCTGAGAAAATCCAGTATCCAATGCATCATTATGCATGGGCATAACTTACACAGAGATCTACAGCATACAACGTTTTGCAGATAAACACCCTCAGAAAGGAAAGTGCACCTTCTAGTGTCCTAACCAGGAAATCACCATTCCAAGATTACTGCCACCATCCAATAATAATATTAAAGGTATAGCGGAGGATCTTTCCGAATTTTAGAGAAGACCCGCCCTCTCCAATTTAAAAAAAAAAAAATGCACATGCGCAACACTCTATTTGCTCCAGAGAGGGAACGCCTATTAAACGTGTGCACGAGAGAGCATAACTTTTACTAGCAGTGATTTTAAATGGATTTCTCCAAATAGCATGACAAACTTTACCTGTCTAGTAGAATCTTCGCGACTGCGGCATCAGTGGGAAGCCCAACCTGTGCTTTTAGCGCACGCCAGCGTGTGAAATGTTCACCCAAAATCACTCTGGTCTTGTTTCTATATTCAGCGGCCTGTCTCTTCTTTTCAAAAACTTCGTGTACACTTTTTCTCTTTCGACCCTCAGCCATTTTCAAAGGAATTGCTGAAACCGTAACTCACACATGAAAGTGCGCATGCGCAGAAAGCGAAAACTACATAGGGACGAGCACGTACGACGGCCTTACGTAAGCATATCACCAGAATGATTGACACTGGACCAATAGTTTAGTCTACCCACCCGGAAAAAGAAAATCCTCCGCTATACCTTTAATATTAATAATTACTAAAATTACAGTTGATTAGACTCAGTCATTTATTGTGACTTAGTCTTATTTCTGATTACAATCTCAATAATTTCATGACAAACTGTCAGATTCTAGTCATTATGGTAAAATAATTTTTATTGACATTTATCACATGAACATATGAAGAACTTTTAAGTTGATTTCATTGTTTCAGAAAAAGAAGATG